GAAGGAACATAAGTTCTTTGACACTCTGGCTTTTTGGCAACATTAATCAGCTCTATACCGTTGCATGTCTCCTGACAAACTATGAAAACAGGCCTCTTGTGAAGGGCAAAAAAGCTGGAGTAGCACTTGTATATTGCATTTACATTTAGTGAACTGGAAGAAGTGTCTCCCACCACCTCCAAAAAAGCCCAACAAAGGATCTACATTTTCTTGAGGACATAATATAAATCTAAATAGCAATTTTCTGTATATATGTCCATGACATCTATTTCAGGGTAGTTTTTAACATTGATTTGTTGAAATAAATTCAATTTGATCAGTTTAACTAGTGTTCTAATTTTTTGGCCACCCACCGGTAAGTTCTTTTGGTGAAATATATGTTCAGAATATTTTAATTCCTACTATTTACCTTAATCAGTATTTGGAATTTGTCATTTTTTTTCTTTTCACACATTTGCAAGTCAGTCCTATCTAAACCCATGTATCTAGGCAAGCACAGGGGTAAAAATAAAAAACAAAATAGTCAACTTCTTTAATTGTTTTTGTGATTTCCTTGTTTCGGAGGATCCTCTGAATAAACATGTCTTCCTGTGTATAGACAACAAAGTCACACCAATCCAATCCTGAAATCAACATCTGGCCCTGGAACAGCCAAAAGTAAGGGTGTATTTCCTCAGTATGTGTACCTTCACTGACCTTAATACATGGGCAGTCCGAATAGCTTGTTTCATTCAGCTTCTAATTTCACTGAGGCCAGACACTGGCTACTCCTTTGGACTGTATGCAATCCTATCAGGTGATGACCCCATCCATTCGGGATGAATTAGGACCTCACAAGGATAGTGGTTCGCCTCCCTTGCTCTGCAGTACTCCGCTACTGCTGTAGGTCCCATTCAAGCCCCATCTTCATGACTTCAGTCTGATGGCTGGGTCTCAGATACCTTTTCACAAAATGTTTGGCAGAGTTCTGTGCCCTGGTGTGACAGACCTCTCTGAATTTGGAGGAGGTGATGCAGAGCCACCTTAGTTTTAGGAACACTGCTCTTCTGTGCTGTTTTTCATTTTGTGTGCTGTCTTTAATGATGTTTAACAGGGACATCATGTGAAGCTGCTGATGTTCAGTGCAGACAAAAGAACATAGAGGGTCCCAGCCTGTAGTACTGAAGTGGCAGCTGTGGGAGAGAAGGGGCATCTGCGTGTAGACAGGTTTTCGGCACTCTCTTTGTTGGCGTGCGATATGATATCACACTTCCTTGTTGCACTTTTCCAAACACAGAGTCAGCCAGAGGTATATTATTGGCTTTAGCCATAGTTGTTATCAACGGAGCCACATCACTGAGAAGGTCATGGTAGACTTCATCCACCTGACTGTGGAAAGTTCAGGCAGAGGTGAACTGACTCCCTTATACAGTTTGCAACACACAAAAAAGGAGCTTACTGTTTGCATAAAGTGAGTTAAACACAAGTTCAAATGAAACATCTACGAGTAAAGAAAGACCTTATTTGTGTGAAAAGCCTGAAGAGATCAGGTTTGGGCTTCTTGTTTTATTGACTGACAGTATAAATGTTGACAATAAATGCTAAAATAAAATGTATCCTATAATGTAGCAGATGATTACTTTTTCTGATATCTTACTGATATGATTACTACAGAGAATTACAACACTACTACTACTACTACTAGTAATAATAACTTGATACCTACCACTAGTCTTCTTTCCATAGGCCTGCCTGGAAGAACAACCATGTCAGTTACCAGACAAGGTTTAACACACCACTGCTGTTCAGTCACAGTGCAAGTGTGTATTTGGGTAACAGGTGATTTTCGAATAATGTGCAGTCTGGTAGAAAAGTGCTGACACATGGTTGCACAAAGCTGTACCTGCCACACAGTTACACTGGCTGCTTTTGTAATGTGTAAAGGCTAAAATTGTAGCCAAATCATTATTAATCGCACTTTACATATTTAAAATAACAAGGAACACAGATTGTGTGTAAAGAAAGTGATGAAACTCAGAACTCAATCTAGTTTCTCTGAATACCATTACTTTAACAGCTTTTTACACACTATTATTACTTATGGGATATCATACAAATCATATATTTAAAGTAGACTTTAGCAGTATTTGATTCGTAGCATTGTTATGATTCACAGAAACTTGATTTGACGAACAGGAACCTAGCTCATGAACCACACTGCACCGAACCTGCAGGACAACTTTGACGTAATTTGAAAATACTTGCCCTTTACGTGGTGTGTAAATTTCATGAAGAATGGACCAAACAAAACGGCCCAAAATCACTTGGAAAAAAGTCTGGTTCCATTGACCTACATTAAGAGTAAAGTAGGTTTTTGGTTTTTTCCTTCTCCTGGAAAGTTACCATTTTGGAGATACAAGGTTTTCTTCCAACAACAGCGATATAGTTTGTAGCTCATCTCCTTTTTAGTTGCTGATGTATGGCACAATGCTTAAATAATGCAACTAATGTCATTGACTGTAAGTCTGGGTAAGTCTTGAAGTGGCAAAGTGAAAATCATCATAGCTAGTCTGTTGTATATGAGCACTGGAAGTGAAAGAGCTGGCTGACTTGGAATGCGGCAGAGAGCGTTCATATAGCCAGAGAACTTGTAGAGAGAAGAATTATCACTCTGTAATGTCTTCTGGGATCCTCAATCACTAGAGGGCGCTCCTGACTGAGTCCAAAATGAATGGGTTAAGATGGAGCATTTGAGCAAAATCATAGTTTATAAATGCTGAAACATTTTTAATGTAAAAGAATACATTCAGATCCTGAACACAGACCAGCATAAAATATTTTAACTCCATTTCCATTTTTATATGTTTTGAACTTGATTGCAGTTGCAGAAGATATTGCAGTTTAAAGCGGCACCTCATGTACGTTCATGAGATCAGTGAGCGCGAACAGCCAGTGAGCTGCTTTGCTCGCCAACCAATCAAAACTCAGTAGCAGTAATGTTGGTCCTGCTGCCCAAAACTCGTTTGCTGTAGAAAAAAGAAACATGCAAGTATGTTTTTTTGATTTTTAGTGAAATACATCCTACTTTCTATAATTAAAGGAAAGTCCTGGGCAAGTGATTGGAAACTATTTTAACTTTTCCTTTTTTAACCGATTAGCTCCATTCGCCTCCATTCATTAAACTTGTGGGCGCCCTCTAGTGTTTTGAAGTCATGTTTTTGATATATTGAGGGAAACAGAAAGAGGCCAGCCTCCTCATAAATCGGCTCTTATATAGCCAGTTTTCTATAAGCCTAGCTACGTCTTGCTTTGTCTGCTGTCAGCGTTAGTCTCTAGTACTTCCTAATCGAACGGAACACAGCCAGTGAGCTAGCCCCGCCTTCACAAGAAGAGTCCTCATAGAATAACTCAGCGAATAAATGCTGCAGAACTGATAGTCCAAAATTCAAGTCAAGTCAAGTCAAATTTATTTATATAGCGCCTTTTACAACAGATGTTGTCGCAAAGCAGCTTTACAAAGAATCCGGGTCCCCAGTGAGCAAGCCTTGGCGACAGTGGCAAGGAAAAACTCCCTCAACAGGAGGAAGAAACCTTGAGAGGAACCAGACTCAAAAGGGGAACCCATCCTCCTCTGGTCGACACCGGATAACAGCACAGACACAAAACAGTATAAGTGGATACAGTTTAACACCACTGTGCAGTGCGCCGGCCACATCAGTCACATCAGACCCTCTTAGGACAGGCAGCCGCTCAGCTCAGGGAAAGAGAGGGGTAGGGGGAAAGAGGGGGGGATAGGAGGGAGGGAGGGGGGGATAAGAGGGACATAGTTAGGAAAACAAATTAACCAAAGGCTCAACCAAACAGGTACGTTTTTAGCCTAGACTTAAAGATGGAGGCTGTGCCTGAGTACCGAACACAGACTGGTGGGCTATTCCAAAGCTGGGGGGCTTTGTATGAAAAGGCTCCTCTCCCTGACGTAACTTTATTTATTCTGGGTACTAATAATTAGCCCGCATTAATTGTGATCTAAGTGGGCGTGTCGGTTGATAATAGGAAATAAGGTCACTGAGGTACTGAGGAGCAAGGCCATTCAGAGCTTTATATGTCAGTAGAAGAATTTTGTACTCAATGCGGAATTTAACTGGCAACCAATGTAAGGTACACAAAATTGGGCTAATGTGATCAAATTTCCTGGTTTTGCTGAGAACTCTGGCTGCAGCGTTCTGGACTAACCGAAGCTTGTTAAGGTTTTGGCTGGAGCAACCAGAAAGCAGAGCATTACAGTAATCTAACCTGGACGTGATAAAGGCGTGAACTAATGTTTCTGCATCCTGTAGAGACAGTGCATATCTTAATTTAGCGATGTTACGAAGGTGGAGGAAAGCTATTCTGGTAATATTGGTAATATGCTCATCGAAGGCCAGACTGGGATCAATCATGACACCAAGGCTTTTTACAGATGTGCCTGGTGCAATTGAGAAACTATCGAGATTAAGAGTAAACGTAGGCAGATTATCCCTAGCAGCTTTTGGACCAAGAAGAAGGACTTCTGTTTTGTCCGAATTTTGTAAGAGGAAGTTACTTGACATCCACTCTTTAATGTCTTTTACACAGTCCTCTATCTTATTAAGTTCAATTTTGTCCTAAAATTAACATGCAGAACATCTTGAACATGCTACAATACATTTCTAGTCTAATGTAACAATTTGATAGTAATTAAGAGTTTTCTAAAAAGTGATTGTTTATTGTGAGGATCGCTGAGGGGCTATCAAAAAGTATGTGGATGTATAATTTATTAAATACGTTGTCCACAAAATGCACCACACTAATGATAGCAGTTTATCATTATAAGCTAAGAGAATGGCTGCAAGAGGGAAGGCGCATGCACTTTGAGGCAAATATATATATATATATATATATATATATATATATATTATTTGCAAAACCAGTATATGTTGTGTTTTTGGATGCAGCAGTGTTGTTTTTTCAGCATTTACAACTCAAAGACAAAATAGTTAGTTCTCAATTTCTTTATTTATGGTCAGCAATGTCATGTTCTTCCAGTCATTTGATAGGCAACTTATGTGCTAATGTTACAACCCTCTGGCAGAAATTAAGGGTATTAATAAAGGGTTTTTCTCATCTTTGGTGCAACAACAGCCTCTGATCTTCTGGGAAGGCTTGACAGTAGACACTGGAATATTGCTGTGAGCATTTGATCGCATTCAGCCTTGGGAGCATCAGGTACTGATGTTGGATGATTAGTTCTGGATCTCAAATGCCAATCCAGCTCGTCCCAGAGGTTGAGTGGTGGTGCTCCTTCATTGCAGAGAACACTGTTCTACTGCTCCTCAGCCCAGTGCAGGGGAGCTTTGCAGACTCGTTTTTGGCTGCTCCAGAGCATCTAATTTCATTGCTTTCCTATGGAGATTATACAAGCTTTGTGTGTGCAATTGAATATCTGTGTCAGCAATTAAATTATTAAATAATTAAATAGCTTTAATTAGAATATGTTCTTTAATTTGAAGATGTGTCTGGACATATAGTGTGGCATATTTTCACTGTGCAAATAAATTAATTACAATGCTGAAATTACAAAGTCTTGGATTTCTAAACCTGCCCAAGTTACTGTTTAATGGCATACATCACAGTCATTATCAGTTATGGAGCAAAAACAGTAACATATAATACTGTAAACAGTCTAATGTGGCAGCATGTCAATTCGTCCAATCTTTTCATTTGACAGACGTCTTACTCCACGTTTCCACAAAAATAAATAATTTGAAACAATGACACTCCAACAAAGACTTATGTGATTATGACAACAAAACCCCCGGTCCCAAAAATTATGGCTTAGCTTGTGGGCGATTTGTAGTCAACTAGAAGAAAGAAGAGAGAAAAGAGAAAAGAAAAAAACATTTATATTAGGACATTTGAAGGATAGAGTGCCATCCATGTTATGCATTCTTTTGCAGCTGCTGACAGCATGGTGACAAAAATCCCCTTGAACCTAATTAAATACTGTAGTACACAACTCAGTTTAGGCTGTCTTACAAAGTTCACCTGATTTTTATGTTGCATCATATTTTTGACGAGTGAACGTTCAGCTGATTATAATCTCTCAGATCTCTGGATGGTATACAAACACTCACATTCAAATGCAGGTAGTAAGGCCTACCTCTGAACTGCCACACAGTGCTTTCACTGGTTAAGCACTGGGGAAACTCACTGGCTGAAATTTTAGAACTGCCGCATTATTTCACAGATATTATTCTTGTCTTTATATTTTCTCAACTTTACAAAGTAAACTGTTTGACAAAAGAGTCAGTCATTTATTTTCTTAGTTAAATAAGTTGGTGTGACAGGGCAGAAATCAACATTTAATGTTATTATGTTGGCAAAGGTCTGATGTTAATAAAACTTTTTTTAGTAACATTTGAGATGTAACTTTAAAGACTCCCCAGATGGATATGTAGAAATACCGGCATTCCTAAAATATTTACAGAAAAAACATATATTTTCCACTTGCAATAAAAAAAAATTCATACACAGTGTTAATAATAAATATTGAATTCATATATTCAATCATCAGAAATACGCATTAGCAGATTTCTGACTCTGTCTCTAATATAAGGCAGTGAATGTTGTGGACCTTTCATGGAATGACCCAAAAAAGAAAGAAAAGAAGAAAAAAGGTAAAAATTTGGTCTAAGTGACTCTGAACAAAGTAATTGACTTACATCTACTGTTGTGTCAACATTCTCAAGACGTGGCTTGAAAATTCCAACAAATGCCTCCTCAGCCACATTGTCATTTTCATGTAGGCTGTACGTTCCAGAACGACCTAATAATAAGTCAATCAAAATGAGATTTATTGCTTGGTCATTAGAAGTTTTGTTATTTGGTTAAATAACAAATTTATGTTGAATAAGGAGCTTGACCTCTGTCTCTGAAGTCAAAGAAATCATCATCAAACAACGACAACCTCTTCAAGTCAGACTTGCTGTTCATTGACCTACAAAAAGGTGGATTATTGTGTATATATGTGTCTATTGAATACAATAATGTTTAAATATTAAAGCAGTTAGACACTCACATTAAATATATATTTCAGATTTAAACCTACCACTTTCCAGTATGCCGTTTACGCAGAACCAAAATCATTGTTGTCAAAATGATAAGAAGCATTATGGCACCTGCTAAACTCCCAAAAAGTGCCGCATAAAACCCTGCAGCTCTGCGGTAAAGTTCACACTGTGGCCCATAGTATTCTTCAACATAATTCTTATTGCATCTGAATGAAAAAAAACAAATGTAGTTTTGTCAAAATTGTGTTCATTCATCTTAGTTTTTACAGAAGATGGTACATTTGAAGCTCATTATCTATGTTTACAAGCACACAATAGTCCAACTAAGTTCTGAGTCTAAGTAAATGGATTAAACCAGTTCTCTTTGAATACATTTTCAACATGCTCATAATCATCAGATTCATCCTCTCAGGGAAGAGGTCCAGAGAACAACCATTGCTACTAAATGTTCATCCACATGTTGCGTGTAATTACATATTTCCACCAAAGAGGTCTCCAAAACACCAAAACCTACATAGTGTAGCATTTATCTAATATCTGTTTGTTACACTGTGGTTCTTCTGAAAAAACATAATGATGTTATGATCACACTGATGTGAGTCAGTGGAGCGATCTAAGCATTTACATGTCTAAATTCATCTCAAGTTGCCTAGCCAATATTGGCCTGGGAGCATCTTATTCAAGCTAGGTTGACTAAGAGTCTGGACACAGCAAGCCAACGTTAAAGAATTAGCAGCAACTGTGACCAACTGAAGACTGCCTCCCATTAGCACACTGTTGCCTCATGGCTTTGCACTCAAACACACCACAAAGACTACAGCTAATGACCAACACACATGCATAATGCTCATCACACAGCACAAACTACACTGATGCTCGCTAATGACCTGACACCGTCCAATAGTTGACAGTTGGCTTTGTGTGACCCGGGCTTAAAACCTTAATCGGACCATGACAATCTAACCATGATCATAGCTTAGTTAGACTTAGATTCTTAGAGTATCAAACCATTGGTGTGCATGTAAATGTAGTTATAGTATTCCTCAAGGTAAGGCTGTTGAGTTAGACAGTCATAACAAAATAAGTTGTCATAAGGCTCATTTGTTTTACTAGTCACTGAACATTATACAGTTTTTTAAGATACAGGCTTAATATTACATTTGTTGTCAGAAGTTTAAACCCTGTACTTACATGCACATTGGCCCACTTATTTCATTTAGGCATTCCCCATTACCATTGCAGTAGCTGGGGTTACTTTTGCATGGACCCTCACATATCCAGGAGCCTTCTTCAATCATCATTGTAAAGTTGCCAAAATCCAAACTGCAGTTCAAGAATGGTCTTAATTGAGAAACATCTAAAAAACATTTGAAAAAAAAAAACATCTAAAAAAAATTGTTTTACATTTTTTTAATTAATTTTTTAAAATTTAAATGAGCAAATAAATATATATTGTGCATATAAATTTGCGGAAAAGTGCCCCATTTAAATATGTTACATGTAGAGAATGGACCAATCTACAAAACTTAATTTGACAGGGGGCCAACTTTTGCATATGAATATATACAGCCCTATTTCCAAAAAAGTGCAAAACACATTGAAAACTTATATTTAATTAAACATAGTACAAAGACAAGAAATGTTATTATTTTTTGAAAAATGTATGTTAATTCGGAATTTAATGCCAGCAACACATTTCAAAAAAGTTGGGAAAACAAAACAATGGTAAAGTTGTGCAATGTAGTTGTGTAAAAAAAAAAAAACAAACATCTGGTGGAACATCTCACAACTAAGTAGGTTAATTGACAACAGAACAGTAACATGATTGGGTATAAAAAAAACATCCCAGAGACGCTAAATCTTTCAGAAGTAAAGGTGGGGAGGGCTTCATTACTCTGTGAAAGACTGTGAGTGCAAGTAGTGTAACAATTCAAGAGTGACGTTTCTCAACGTAAATACATTCGTCATCTACAGCACATAAAATCATTAAAAGATTAAGAGAATCTGGAGAAATCTCTGTAAGCAAGGGGACAAGACTGAAAACCAGCACTGTATTAAAAAACAGACACAATTTTGTTATGGAAATCACTGCATGGGCTCAGGAACACTTCCGAAAACCATTGTCTTTGTGACATGGTTTGTCTCTGTATCCACAAATGCAAGTTAAAACTCTACCATGCAATAAAGAAACCATATATAAACAGGATCTGGAAATACTGCATCCTTCTCTGGGCCTGAGCTCATTTAAGATGGACTGAGGGGAAGTGGAAAAGTATCCTGTGTTCAAACAAATCAAAATTTGAATTTTTTTTTTTGAAAACCACATTCTGCACCTATTAGCACGTAACAGCATTGCTCCGTAGTAAAAAGGTTGCAGGTTCAGACCTGTTACCCATTGAAAACATTTTGTTGTGTGAAATGAAAAATACGACAAAGGAGACCTTGAACTGTTGAGCAGCTAAAATCCTATGTATTAGGAAAACATTTCACTTTCAAAACTACAGCAATTGGTCCTCTCTTTTCTCAAACGCTTACAGAGTGATGTCAAAAGAACAGGTGATGCAGTACAGTAGTAAACATGCCCCGTCTCAACTCTTTTGAATTGTGTTGCTGGCATGAGATTCCAAATGGGCACATATTTTTCAAAAAACAATAAAATTTCTCAGTTTCAAGATTTGATATGTTGTCTTTGCACCTTTTTCAATTTCAATAGGGTTTAAATGATTTGCACATCACTGCATTCTGTTATTATTTGTTAAAGTATTTTAACACAGGAATCACTACTTACTTGCTATTACAACTGTTTGCATAGTAATTTCTGTAACCAAAACATCTCCTCCAAATGCTTCACTTAGATTCTTAAGCAAATCAGAGTTATTAAAGATTGTCTTCAGTGAGGGTCCTAGATTGTTGTTGAGAGAATCGATTTGTGATTGATTGTTGGGATAGTTGAATTGTGCAGTGCTGTTGACAATGATGCTGCCTTGCCTGAAAAAAATAGTCATGAACAGATTTAAATAGATCATATTATAGCCTTGCAGTACGAATAAATAATAAATAAATAATTACTAAAAATGATCATATAACTTACGTTAAACTAACAATAACTACATCCTTGAAGTTTTGTGGGTCTACTCTTTTGAAAATAACTGAAAGCTGCAAAGCAACAAAGAGTATGTAGAATTATAGCACAGAATACTTAGACAGGTTCAATTTGTACTGACAGAATACAAACAGCTTTACCTACCTCATGTGTTAAGATTGCTATCAAGTTTTTGGATGCCTGAGAGTTCAAATTTTCAAAGTCAGGATTATAATCTTTCACAATTCTCAGAATGATATTTGCATTCCTGGTAGGTCTGTTCTCAGCTGCAATGGAATTTTTACAATTATAAGTGATTCACATGATTCACAAACTGATAACAGACAGTTTTACACAAGTATTTCCAATCTCTCTTCATCACTTAGAATTTGTTTGCTGTGCCTGTAAAATGGATATAATTTAATGAGCTGAGTTCTGATTGGTTGCCCTGTATTGCATCTTTTTCAAAATGCTGGCAAAGCTGAAACATTTATCACTTTAACATGAATTGGTGGGTCAAAACTGCTGTAGTCTGAATATTCAGAAACATGTAAGTGTACTAATTTTTATAACATCACAACGACAGTGAAACAGGCAGTTTTTGCAGCTTAATTTACATATATGAACTGGTAATGAGTGGTATGTTTTGAAACTTTAATTATGCATATATACTACATCAAACCCTTTTTCCCCCAAAAAAGCAAGGAATGTTTCACAAGATATGGGCTCTTCAAAGGTACAAGTTAAAGAGAACATAACACACAAAATAATGCAAAGCACTACTGGTCTTTTACTAGTCTATGAATTAAAAGTTAGTGTTATACTTACAGAATATAACAGTTGTGGTGTTAACTGCCAACTCACAGGAATCTCCATATGTGAAATTACTGCATTTACATTCACAACGTCCAGAGGTCACATTCAGAAAACATGGAGCACCGTTGCACTGGCAGTCTGTGTCTTTACAGCTCTGTACAGTGACAGTGGTGATCTTTGTTGTTAGAGCAGATTCACTTGGTATTATGGAAGAATGTGAACTGGTAGAAAGGGATGTTGTAGATTCTTTGAGGGTGGAGAAACGTGTGGTAAAAGAATTAGGGGAATTTGAAGACTGATTTGTAAATTCAGTGGATGGCTGATTTGTTAAAAGAACCTGTTTAGTAGTGTTGGTCTGAGGAGATATCATGGCTTCAGTAGTAGATCTGGGCAATGATGATGATGTCTTTATGGTAGAAGACTGGGAGGCCTGAGATGTGGAAGACATTACTGCAGTGGTAGATACATCTGATTCAGAACTAAGGGATGTCACAGGTGTTGAAGTCTTTGATGTTGAAAGGGTGGATGGTGATGAAAGTGATTCTTCTGTTGAGGAGAATGCAACGGTCTGTGTGGATTCTTCTGTTGTAGAGATTGTCACAATTGTTTCTACTGGGCTTCTTGTTGCTTGAGTTGACTCTGTGTCACTTCCAGTTGCTTGTGGGGACACTGAATTTGAGCTGAATCCAGTTGTTGAAAATGAAGCAAAGGTGTCATCTCTGTGGGTGGAACTTGGTGATACTTGAGTCGTCTGGATTGGTGCTTCTGAAGGTTCTCCTGATCTGTGTTCTGTTGTGCTTGCAGTGGTAGATACATCTGATTCAGAACTAAGGGATGTCACAGGTGTTGAGGTTTTTGATGTTGAAAGGGTTGATGCTGATAAAGGTGATTGTTCTGTTGAGGAGAATGCAACTGTCTGTGTGGATTTGTCTGTTGTAGCGATTGTCGCCATTGTTTCTACTGGGCTTCCAGTCACTTGTGTGAGTCCTTCTGTGGAGCTTAATTCTGTTGTTGGCAGTGAAGTAACAGATTTATCAGTGCTGGGATTGACTGAAGGCTGCTGTGTTGTTAGCCCTGTACCTTCAGAAGTTTCGAAGGATATGTCAGTTGTCTCCTTTGATATTGGTTCATTTGTGGTATGAATGGCAGGTGTCTCAGAAGTTACATAGGTAAGAGGTAACAATGTAGAATATGCTGTGAAGATGGACGCTGTTGAATGCCTTTCGTCAGTTGAAGCGACAACAGGGCTCAGTGTTGTTCTATCTGCTGTAAAGTTGTGTTGAGTTGTTTGGGTGACACTTTCAGTTGCCTGTGTAAACAATGAATTTGAGCTGAGATCAGGTGGTGAAGAGGAAGTAAAGGTTTCATCTGTGTGTGTAGAAATTGATGATGCCTGAGTTGTCTGGACTGGTGTTTCTGAATGTGCTCTTGATGTGTATTCTGTTATGCTTGCAGGGGTAGATACATCTGATACAGAACTAAGTGATGTAAGAGGTGTTGAAGTCTTTGATGTTGAAAGGGTGGATGGTGATGAAAGTGATTGTTCTGTTGAGGAGAATGCAACGGTCTGTGAGGATTCTTCTGTTGTTGAGCTTGTCATAATTGTTTCTATTGGGCTTCTTGTTGCTTGAGTTGACTCTGTGTCACTTCCAGTTGCTTGTGGGGACACAGAATTTGAGCTGAATCCAGTTGTTGAAAATGAAGCAAAGGTTTCATCTGTGTGAGTTGAACTTGGTGATACCTGAGTTGTCTGGACTGGTGCTGCTGACAGTTCTCCTGAAGTGTATTCTGTTGTGCTTGCAGGGGTAGATACATCTGATTCAGAACTAAGTGATGTAAGCGGTGTTGATGTCCTTGATGTTGAAAGGGTGGAGGTTGATGAAAGTGATTGCTCGGTTGAGGAGAATGAAACAGTCTGTGTGGATTCTTCAGTTGTAGAGATTGTCACAATTGTTTCTATTGGGCTTCCTGTTGATTGAGTTGATGCTGTGTCACTTCCAGTTGCTTGTGGGGACACTGAATTTGAGCTGAATCCAGGTGTTGAAAATGAAGCAAAGGTGTCATCTCTATGGGTGGAACTTGGTGATACCTGAGTCGTCTGGACTGGTGCTTCTGAAGGTTCTCCTGAAGTGTATTCTGTTGTGCTTGCAGTGGTAGATACATCTGATTGAGAACTAAGGGATGTCACAGGTGTTGAGGTTTTTAATGTTATAAGAGTGGATGCTGATGAAAGTGATTGCTCTGTTGAGGAGAATGCAACGGTCTGTGAAGATTCTTCTGTTGTAGAGCTTGTCATAATTGTTTCTACTGGGCTGCCAGTCACTTGTGTTGAGTCCTCTGTGCACTTCAGTTTGCTTGTGTGGCACTGAAGTTTGAGCTGAATCAGGTGCTGGGATGACTGCAAGGTTTCTGCTGTGTGAGTGGAACTTGGTGATACCTGAGTCGAATGGATTGGTGCTCTGAGGTGTCTCCTGTGTGATATTGTGTTTGGCTTAAAGTGGTAGATACATCTGATACAGACTAAGGGTGTCACAGGTGTAGAGGTTTTTAATGTTATAGAGCGGATGCTGATGAAGTGATTCGTCTGTTGAGGAGAATGCAACGGTCGTGTTGATGCTTCGTGTAGAGTGTCATAATTGTTTCTATTGGCTTCTTGTTTGTTGAGTTGATTCTGTGACACTTTCAGTTGCTTGTGTAGACACTGAATTTGAGCTGAGATCAGGTGGTGAAAGATGAAGCAAAGGTTTCATCTGTGTGGTGGAACTTGGTGATGCCTGAGTCGTCTGGACTGGTGCTTCTGAAGGTGCTCTGATGTGTATTCTGTTGTGCTTGCAGTGGTAGATACATCTGATACAGAACTAAGGGATGTCACAGGTGTTGAGGTTTTTAATGTTATAAGAGCGGATGCTGATGAAAGTGATTCTTCTGTTGAGGAGAATGCAACGGTCTGTGTGGATTCTTCTGTTGTAGAGGTTGTCATAATTGTTTCTATTGGGCTTCTTGTTTGTTGAGTTGACTCTGTGTCACTTCCAGTTGCTTGTGAGGACACTGAATTTGAGCTGAATTCAGTTGTTGAAAATGAAGCAAAGGTGTCATCTGTTTGAGTGGAACTTGCCGATACCTGAGTTGTCTGGGCTGCTGGTGCTGACAGTTCTCCTGAAGTGTATTCTGTTGTGCTTGCAGGGGTAGATACATCTGATTCAGAACTAAGTGATGTAAGAGGTGTTGATGTCCTTGATGTTGAAAGGGTGGAGGTTGATGAAAGTGATTGCTCGGTTGAGGAGAATGCAACGGTCTGTGTGGATTCTTCAGTTGTAGAGATTGTCACAATTGTTTCTATTGGGCTTCCTGTTGATTGAGTTGACTCTGTGTCACTTCCAGTTGCTTGTGGGGACACTGAATTTGAGCTGAATCCAGTTGTTGAAAATGAAGCAAAGGTGTCATCTAGGTGGGTGGAACTTAGTGATACCTGAGTGGTCTGGACTGGTGCTGCTGACAGTTCTCCTGAAGTGTATTCTGTTGTGCTTGCAGGGGTAGATACATCTGATTCAGAACTAAGGGATGTCAAGCGGTGTTGATGTTCTTGATGTTAAAGGGTGGAGGTTGATGAAAGTGATTGCTCGGTTGAGGAGAATGCAAAGGTCTGTGTGGATTCTTCTGTTGTAGAGGTTGTCATAATTGTTTCTATTGGGCTTCTTGTTTGTTGAGTTGACTCTGTGTCACTTCCAGTTGCTTGTGAGGACACTGAATTTGAGCTGAATTCAGTTGTTGAAAATGAAGCAAAGGTGTCATCTGTTTGAGTGGAACTTGCCGATACCTGAGTTGTCTGGGCTGCTGGTGCTGACAGTTCTCCTGAAGTGTATTCTGTTGTGCTTGCAGGGGTAGATACATCTGATTCAGAACTAAGGGATGTCACAGGTGTTGATGTCCTTGATGTTGAAAGGGTGGAGGTTGATGAAAGTGATTGCTCGGTTGAGGAGAATGCAACGGTCTGTGTGGATTCTTCAGTTGTAGAGATTGTCACAATTGTTTCTATTGGGCTTCCTGTTGATTGAGTTGACTCTGTGTCACTTCCAGTTGCTTGTGGGGACACTGAATTTGAGCTGAATCCAGGTGTTGAAAATGAAGCAAAGGTGTCATCTCTGTGGGTGGAACTTGGTGATACCTGAGTCGTCTGGATTGGTGCTTCTGAAGGTGCTTTTGATGTGTATTCTGTTGTGCTTGCAGGGGTAGATACATCTGATACAGAACTAAGTGATGTAAGAGGTGTTGAAGTCTTTGATGTTGAAAGGGTGGATGGTGATGAAAGTGATTGTTCTGTTGAGGAGAATGCAACGGTCTGTGTGGATTCTTCTGTTGTAGAGGTTGTCATAATTGTTTCTATTGGGCTTCTTGTTTGTTGAGTTGACTCTGTGTCACTTCCAGTTGCTTGTGAGGACACTGAATTTGAGCTGAATTCAGTTGTTGAAAATGAAGCAAAGGTGTCATCTGTTTGAGTGGAACTTGCCGATACCTGAGTTGTCTGGGCTGCTGGTGCTGACAGTTCTCCTGAAGTGTATTCTGTTGTGCTTGCAGGGGTAGATACATCTGATTCAGAACTAAGTGATGTAAGAGGTGTTGATGTCCTTGATGTTGAAAGGGTGGAGGTTGATGAAAGTGATTGCTCGGTTGAGGAGAATGCAACGGTCTGTGTGGATTCTTCAGTTGTAGAGATTGTCACAATTGTTTCTATTGGGCTTCCTGTTGATTGAGTTGACTCTGTGTCACTTCCAGTTGCTTGTGGGGACACTGAATTTGAGCTGAATCCAGGTGTTGAAAATGAAGCAAAGGTGTGATCTATGTGGGTGGAACTTGGTGATACCTGAGTTGTCTGGACTGGTGCTGCCGACAGTTCTCCTGAAGTGTATTCTGTTGTGCTTGCAGGGGTAGATACATCTGATTCAGAACTAAGTGATGTAAGGGGTGTTGATGTCCTTGATGTTGAAAGGGTGGAGGTTGATGAAAGTGATTGCTCGGTTGAGGAGAATGCAACGGTCTGTGTGGATTCTTCAGTTGTAGAGATTGTCACAATTGTTTCTATTGGGCTTCTTGTTTCTTGAGTTGACTCTGTGTCACTTCCAGTTGCTTGTGGGACACTGAATTTGAGCTGAATCCAGTGTTGAAAATGAAGCAAAGGTGTCATCTCTGTGGGTGGAACTTGGTGATACCTGAGTCGTCTGGACTGGTGCTTCTGAAGGTTTTCTGTTGTGTATTCTGTTGTGCTTGCAGGGTAGATACATCTGATTGAGAACTAAGGGATGTCACAGGTGTTGAGGTTTTAATGTTATAAGAGTGGATGCTGATGAAAGTGATTGTTCTGTTGAGGAGAATGCAAGTGTCTGTGAGATTCTTCTGTTGTAGAGCTTGTCATAATTGTTTCTATGGGCTTCTTGTTGCTTGAGTTGACTCTGTGTCACTTCCAGTTGCTTGTGGGGACACAGAATTTGAGCTGAATCCAGGTGTTGAAAATGAAGCAAAGGTTTCATCTGTGTGAGTGGAACTTGGTGATACCTGAGTCGTCTGGATTGGTGCTTCGAAGTTCTCCTGATGTGTATTCTGTTGTGCTTGCAGGGGTAGATACATCTGATTCAGAACTAAGGGATGTCACAGGTGTTGAGGTTTTTAATGTTATAAGAGCGGATGCTGATGAAAGTGATTGTTCTGTTGAGGAGAATGCAACGGTCTGTGTGGATTCTTCTGTTGTAGAGCTTGTCATAATTGTTTCTATTGGGCTTCTTGTTGCTTGAGTTGACTCTGTGTCACTTCCAGTTGCTTGTGGGGACACTGAATTTGAGCTGAATCCAGGTGTTGAAAATGAAGCAAAGGTGTCATCTGTGTGAGTGGAACTTGTGATACCTGAGTTGTCTGGGACTGGTGTGCTGACAGTTCTCCTGAAGTGTATTCTGTTGTGCTTGCAGGGGTAGATACATCTGATTCAGAACTAAGTGATGTAAGGGGTGTTGATGTCCTTGATGTTGAAAGGGTGGAGGTTGATGAAAGTGATTGCTCGGTTGAGGAGAATGCAACGGTCTGTGTGGATTCTTCTGTTGTAGAGTTGTCACAATTGTTTCTATTGGGCTTCTTGTTGCTTGAGTTGACTCTGTGTCACTTCCAGTTGCTTGTGGGGACACAGAATTTGAGCTGAATCCAGGTGTTGAAAATGAAGCAAAGGTGTCATCTCTGTGGGTGTAACTTGCGATACCTGAGTTGTCTGGGCTGCTGGTGCTGACAGTTCTCCTGAAGTGTATTCTGTTGTGCTTGCAGGGGTAGATACATCTGATTCAGAACTAAGGATGTAACAGGTGTTGATGTCTTTGATGTTGAAAGGTGGAGATGCTGATGAAAGTGATTGTTCTGTTGAGGAGAATGCAACGGTCTGTGAGGATTCTTCTGTTGTAGAGATTGTCATAATTGTTTCTATTGGGCTTCTTGTTGCTTGAGTTGACTCTGTGTCACTTCCAGTTGCTTGTGGGGACACTGAATTTGAGCTGAATCCAGGTGTTGAAAATGAAGCAAAGGTGTGATCTATGTGGGTGGAACTTGCCGATACCTGAGTTGTCTGGACTGGTGCTGCCGACAGTTCTCCTGAAGTGTATTCTGTTGTGCTTGCAGGGGTAGATACATCTGATTCAGAACTAAGGGATGTCACAGGTGTTGAGGTTTTTAATGTTATAAGAGCAGATGCTGATGAAAGTGATTGTTCTGTTGAGGAGAATGCAACGGTCTGTGAGGATTCTTCTGTTGTAGAGATTGTCACAATTGTTTCTATTGGGCTTCTTGTTTCTTGAGTTGACTCTGTGTCACTTCCAGTTGCTTGTGGGGACACTGAATTTGAGCTGAATCCAGTTGTTGAAAATGAAGCAAAGGTGTCATCTCTGTGGGTGGAACTTGGTGATACCTGAGTCGTCTGGACTGGTGCTTCTGAAGGTTTTCCTGTTGTGTATTCTGTTGTGCTTGCAGGGGTAGATACATCTGATTGAGAACTAAGGGATGTCACAGGTGTTGAGGTTTTTAATGTTATAAGAGTGGATGCTGATGAAAGTGATTGTTCTGTTGAGGAGAATGCAAAGGTCTGTGAGGATTCTTCTGTTGTAGAGCTTGTCATAATTGTTTCTATTGGGCTTCTTGTTGCTTGAGTTGACTCTGTGTCACTTCCAGTTGCTTGTGGGGACACTGAATTTGAGCTGAATCCAGGTGTTGAAAATGAAGCAAAGGTGTCATCTGTGTGAGTGGAACTTGGTGATACCTGAGTTGTCTGGATGGTGCTTCTGAAGTTCTCCTGGTGTGTATTGTGTTTGGCTAAAGTGGTAGATACATCTGATTCAGAACTAAGGGATGTCACAGGTGTTGATGTCCTTGATGTTGAAAGGGTGGAGGTTGATGAAAGTGATTGCTCGGTTGAGGAGAATGCAACGTCTGTGTGGATTCTTCAGTTGTAGAGATTGTCACAATTGTTCTATTGGGCTTCCTGTTGATTGAGTGACTCTGTGTCACGTCCAGTTGCTTGTGGGGACACTGAATTTGAGCTGAATCCAGGTGTTGAAATGAAGCAAGGTGTCATCTGTGTGAGTTGAACTTGGTGATACCTGAGTTGTCTGGATTGGTGCTTCTGAAGGTGCTTTTGATGTGTATTCTGTTGTGCTTGCAGGGGTAGATACATCTGATTGAGAACTAAGTGATGTAAGAGGTGTTGAAGTCTTTGATGTTGAAAGGGTGGATGGTGATGAAAGTGATTGTTCTGTTGAGGAGAATGCAACGGTCTGTGTGGATTCTTCTGTTGTAGAGGTTGTCATAATTGTTTCTATTGGGCTTCTTGTTGCTTGAGTTGACGCTGTGTCACTTCCAGTTGCTTGTGGGGACACTGAATTTGAGCTGAATCCAGGTGTTGAAAATGAAGCAAAGGTGTCATCTCTGTGGGTGGAACTTGCCGATACCTGAGTTGTCTGGGCTGCTGGTGCTGACAGTTCTCCTGAAGTGTATTCTGTTGTGCTTGCAGGGGTAGATACATCTGATTCAGAACTAAGTGATGTAAGGGTGTTGATGTCTTTGATGTTGAAAGGGTGGATGGTGATGAAAGTGATTGTTCTGTTGAGGAGAATGCAACGGTCTGTGAGGATTCTTCTGTTGTAGAGATTGTCACAATTGTTTCTATTGGGCTTCTTGTTTCTTGAGTTGACTCTGTGTCACTTCCAGTTGCTTGTGGGGACACTGAATTTGAGCTGAATCCAGTTGTTGAAAATGAAGCAAAGGTGTCATCTCTGTGGGTGGAACTGGTGATACCTGAGTCGTCTGGACTGGTGCTTCTGAAGGTTTTCCTGTTGTGTATTCTGTTGTGCTTGCAGGGGTAGATACATCTGATTGAGAACTAAGGGATGTCACAGGTGTTGAGGTTTTTAATGTTATAGGAGTGGATGCTGATGAAAGTGATTGTTCTGTTGAGGAGAATGCAAAGGTCTGTGAGGATTCTTCTGTTGTAGAGCTTGTCATAATTGTTTCTATTGGGCTTCTTGTTGCTTGAGTTGACTCTGTGTCACTTCCAGTTGCTTGTGGGGACACAGAATTTGAGCTGAATCCAGGTGTTGAAAATGAAGCAAAGGTTTCATCTGTGTGAGTGGAACTTGGTGATACCTGAGTCGTCTGGATTGGTGCTTCTGAAGTTTCTCCTGGTGTGTATTGTGTTTGGCTTAAAGTGGTAGATACATCTGATTCAGAACTAAGGGATGTCACAGGTGTTGAGGTTTTTAATGTTATAAGAGCGGATGCTGATGAAAGTGATTGTTCTGTTGAGGAGAATGCAACGGTCTGTGTGGATTCTTCTGTTGTAGAGCTTGTCAAAATTGTTTCTACTGGGCTTCTTGTTTCTTGAGTTGACTCTGTGTCACTTCCAGTTGCTTGTGGGGACACTGAATTTGAGCTGAATCCAGGTGTTGAAAATGAAGCAAAGGTGTCATCTCTGTGGGTGGAACTTGCCGATACCTGAGTTGTCTGGGCTGCTGGTGCTGACAGTTCTCCTGAAGTGTATTCTGTTGTGCTTGCAGGGGTAGATACATCTGATTCAGAACTAAGTGATGTAAGGGGTGTTGATGTCCTTGATGTTGAAAGGGTGGAGGTTGATGAAAGTGATTGCTCGGTTGAGGAGAATGCAACGGTCTGTGTGGATTCTTCAGTTGTAGAGATTGTCATAATTGTTTCTATTGGGCTTCTTGTTTCTTGAGTTGACTCTGTGTCACTTCCAGTTGCTTGTGGGGACACTGAATTTGAGCTGAATCCAGTGTTGAAAATGAAGCAAAGGTGTCATCTCTGTGGGTGGAACTTGGTGATACCTGAGTCGTCTGGACTGGTGCTTCTGAAGGTTTTCCTGTTGTGTATTCTGTTGTGCTTGCAGGGTAGATACATCTGATTCAGAACTAAGGGATGTCACAGGTGTTGAGGTTTTTTAATGTTATAAGAGTGGATGCTGATGAAAGTGATTGTTCTGTTGAGGAGAATGCAAACGGTCTGTGTGGATTCTTCTGTTGTAGAGCTTGTCATAATTGTTTCTATTGGGCTTCTTGTTGCTTGAGTTGACTCTGTGTCACTTCCAGTTGCTTGTGGGGACACAGAATTTGAGCTGAATCCAGGTGTTGAAAATGAAGCAAAGGTTTCATCTGTGTGAGTGGAACTTGGTGATACCTGAGTCGTCTGGATTGGTGCTTCTGAAGTTTCTCCTGGTGTGTATTGTGTTTGGCTTAAAGTGGTAGATACATCTGATTCAGAACTAAGGGATGTCACAGGTGTTGAGGTTTTTAATGTTATAAGAGCGGATGCTGATGAAAGTGATTGTTCTGTTGAGGAGAATGCAACGGTCTGTGTGGATTCTTCTGTTGTAGAGCTTGTCAAAATTGTTTCTACTGGGCTTCTTGTTTCTTGAGTTGACTCTGTGTCACTTCCAGTTGCTTGTGGGGACACTGAATTTGAGCTGAATCCAGGTGTTGAAAATGAAGCAAAGGTGTCATCTGTTTGAGTGGAACTTGCCGATACCTGAGTTGTCTGGGCTGCTGGTGCTGACAGTTCTCCTGAAGTGTATTCTGTTGTGCTTGCAGGGGTAGATACATCTGATTCAGAACTAAGTGATGTAAGCGGTGTTGATGTCCTTGATGTTGAAAGGGTGGATGCTGATGAAAGTGATTGCTCGGTTGAGGAGAATGCAACAGTCTGTGTGGATTCTTCAGTTGAAGAGATTGTCACAATTGTTTCTATTGGGCTTCCTGTTGATTGAGTTGACACTGTGTCACTTCCAGTTGCTTGTGGGGACACTGAATTTGAGCTGAATCCAGGTGTTGAAAATGAAGCAAAGGTGTCATCTCTGTGGGTGGAACTTGCTGAAACCTGAGTCGTCTGGATTGGTGCTTCTGAAGGTGCTTTTGATGTGTATTCTGTTGTGCTTGCAGGGGTAGATACATCTGATTGAGAACTAAGTGATGTAAGAGGTGTTGAAGTCTTTGATGTTGAAAGAGTGGATGGTGATGAAAGTGATTGTTCTGTTGAGGAGAATGCAACGGTCTGTGTGGATTCTTCTGTTGTAGAGGTTGTCATAATTGTTTCTATTGGGCTTCTTGTTGCTTGAGTTGACGCTGTGTCACTTCCAGTTGCTTGTGGGGACACTGAATTTGAGCTGAATCCAGGTGTTGAAAATGAAGCAAAGGTGTCATCTCTGTGGGTGGAACTTGCGATACCTGAGTTGTCTGGCTGCTGGTGCTGACAGTTCTCCTGAAGTGTATTCTGTTGTGCTTGCAGGGGTAGATACATCTGATTCAGAACTAAGTGATGTAAGGGTGTTGAGTCTTTGATGTTGAAAGGGTGGATGTGATGAAAGTGATTCTTCTGTTGAGGAGAATGCAACGGTCTGTGTGGATTCTTCTGTTGTAGAGATTGTCACAATTGTTTCTATTGGGCTTCTTGTTTGTTGAGTTGACTCTGTGTCACTTCCAGTTGCTTGTGGGGACACTGAATTTGAGCTGAATCCAGTTGTTGAAAATGAAGCAAAGGTGTCATCTCTGTGGGTGGAACTTGGTGATACCTGAGTCGTCTGGACTGGTGCTTCTGAAGGTTCTCCTGTTGTGTATTCTGTTGTGCTTGCAGGGGTAGATACATCTGATTGAGAACTAAGGGATGTCACAGGTGTTGAGGTTTTTAATGTTATAAGAGTGGATGCTGATGAAAGTGATTGTTCTGTTGAGGAGAATGCAAAGGTCTGTGAAGATTCTTCTGTTGTAGAGCTCGTCATAATTGTTTCTATTGGGCTTCTTGTTGCTTGAGTTGACTCTGTGTCACTTCCAGTTGCTTGTGGGGACACTGAATTTGAGCTGAATCCAGGTGTTGAAAATGAAGCAAAGGTTTCATCTGTGTGAGTGGAACTTGGTGATACCTGAGTCGTCTGGATTGGTGCTTCTGAAGGTTCTCCTGGTGTGTATTGTGTTTGGCTTAAAGTGGTAGATACATCTGATTCAGAACTAAGGGATGTCACAGGTGTTGAGGTTTTTAATGTTATAAGAGCGGATGCTGATGAAAGTGATTGTTCTGTTGAGGAGAATGCAACGGTCTGTGTGGATTCTTCTGTTGTAGAGCTTGTCAAAATTGTTTCTACTGGGCTTCTTGTTTCTTGAGTTGACTCTGTGTCACTTCCAGTTGCTTGTGGGGACACGGAATTTGAGCTGAATCCAGGTGTTGAAAATGAAGCAAAGGTGTCATCTGTTTGAGTGAAACTTACCGATACCTGAGTTGTCTGGGCTGCTGGTGCTGACAGTTCTCCTGAAGTGTATTCTGTTGTGCTTGCAGGGGTAGATACATCTGATTCAGAACTAAGTGATGTAAGCGGTGTTGATGTCCTTGATGTTGAAAGGGTGGAGGTTGATGAAAGTGATTGCTCGGTTGAGGAGAATGCAACGGTCTGTGTGGATTCTTCAGTTGAAGAGATTGTCACAATTGTTTCTATTGGGCTTCCTGTTGATTGAGTTGATGCTGTGTCACTTCCAGTTGCTTGTGGGGACACTGAATTTGAGCTGAATCCAGGTGTTGAAAATGAAGCAAAGGTGTCATCTCTGTGGGTGGAACTTGCGATACCTGAGTTGTCTGGGCTGCTGGTGCTGACAGTTCTCCTGAAGTGTATTCTGTTGTGCTTGCAGGGGTAGATACATCTGATTCAGAACTAAGTGATGTAAGGGGTGTTGAAGTCTTTGATGTTGAAAGGGTGGATGGTGATGAAAGTGATTGTTCTGTTGAGGAGAATGCAAAGGTGTGTGAGGATTCTTCTGTTGTAGAGATTGTCATAATTGTTTCTATTGGGCTTCTTGTTGCTTGAGTTGACTCTGTGTCACTTCCAGTTGCTTGTGGGGACACTGAATTTGAGCTGAATCCAGGTGTTGAAAATGAAGCAAAGGTGTCATCTATGTGAGTGGAACTTGGTGATACCTGAGTTGTCTGGACTGGTGCTGCTGACAGTTCTCCTGAAGTGTATTCTGTTGTGCTTGCAGGGGTAGATACATCTGATTCAGAACTAAGTGATGTAAGGGGTGTTGAAGTCTTTGATGTTGAAAGGGTGGATGGTGATGAAAGTGATTGTTCTGTTGAGGAGAATGCAACGGTCTGTGAGGATTCTTCTGTTGTAGAGCTTGTCATAATTGTTTCTATTGGGCTTCTTGTTGCTTGAGTTGACTCTGTGTCACTTCCAGTTGCTTGTGGGGACACTGAATTTGAGCTGAATCCAGGTGTTGAAAATGAAGCAAAGGTGTCATCTCTGTGGGTGGAACTTGCCGATACCTGAGTTGTCTGGGCTGCCGGTGCTGACAGTTCTCCTGAAGTGTATTCTGTTGTGCTTGCAGGGGTAGATACATCTGATTCAGAACTAAGTGATGTAAGCGGTGTTGATGTCCTTGATGTTGAAAGGGTGGAGGTTGATGAAAGTGATTGCTCGGTTGAGGAGAATGCAACAGTCTGTGTGGATTCTTCAGTTGAAGAGATTGTCACAATTGTTTCTATTGGGCTTCCTGTTGATTGAGTTGACGCTGTGTCACTTCCAGTTGCTTGTGGGGACACTGAATTTGAGCTGAATCCAGGTGTTGAAAATGAAGCAAAGGTGTCATCTGTGTGGGTGGAACTTGCCGATACCTGAGTTGTCTGGGCTGCTGGTGCTGACAGTTCTCCTGAAGTGTATTCTGTTGTGCTTGCAGGGGTAGATACATCTGATTCAGAACTAAGTGATGTAAGCAGTGTTGATGTCCTTGATGTTGAAAGGGTGGATGGTGATGAAAGTGATTGTTCTGTTGAGGAGAATGCAACGGTCTGTGTGGATTCTTCTGTTGTAGAGGTTGTCATAATTGTTTCTATTGGGCTTCTTGTTGCTTGAGTTGACTCTGTGTCACTTCCAGTTGCTTGTGGGGACACTGAATTTGAGCTGAATCCAGGTGTTGAAAATGAAGCAAAGGTGTCATCTCTGTGGGTGGAACTTGCCGATACCTGAGTTGTCTGGGCTGCCGGTGCTGACAGTTCTCCTGAAGTGTATTCTGTTGTGCTTGCAGGGGTAGATACATCTGATTCAGAACTAAGTGATGTAAGAGGTGTTGAAGTCTTTGATGTTGAAAGGGTGGATGGTGATGAAAGTGATTGTTCTGTTGAGGAGAATGCAACGGTCTGTGAGGATTCTTCTGTTGTAGAGCTTGTCATAATTGTTTCTATTGGGCTTCTTGTTGCTTGAGTTGACTCTGTGTCACTTCCAGTTGCTTGTGGGGACACTGAATTTGAGCTGAATCCAGTTGTTGAAAATGAAGCAAAGGTGTCATCTATGTGGGTGGAACTTGGTGATACCTGAGTTGTCTGGACTGGTGCTGCTGACAGTTCTCCTGAAGTGTATTCTGTTGTGCTTGCAGGGGTAGATACATCTGATTCAGAACTAAGTGATGTAAGAGGTGTTGAAGTCTTTGATGTTGAAAGGGTGGATGGTGATGAAAGTGATTGTTCTGTTGAGGAGAATGCAACGGTCTGTGTGGATTCTTCTGTTGTAGAGCTTGTCAAAATTGTTTCTACTGGGCTTCTTGTTTCTTGAGTTGACTCTGTGTCACTTCCAGTTGCTTGTGGGGACACTGAATTTGAGCTGAATCCAGGTGTTGAAAATGAAGCAAAGGTGTCATCTGTTTGAGTGGAAATTGCCGATACCTGAGTTGTCTGGACTGGTGCTGCTGACAGTTCTCCTGAAGTGTATTCTGTTGTGCTTGCAGGGGTAGATACATCTGATTCAGAACTAAGTGATGTAAGCGGTGTTGATGTCCTTGATGTTGAAAGGGTGGAGGTTGATGAAAGTGATTGCTCGGTTGAGGAGAATGCAACAGTCTGTGTGGATTCTTCAGTTGAAGAGATTGTCACAATTGTTTCTATTGGGCTTCGTGTTGCTTGAGTTGACTCTGTGTCACTTCCAGTTGCTTGTGGGGACACAGAATTTGAGCTGAATCCAGGTGTTGAAAATGAAGCAAAGGTGTCATCTGTGTGAGTGGAACTTGGTGATACCTGAGTCGTCTGGGCTGGTGCTTCTGACAGTTCTCCTGTTGTGTATTCTGTTGTGCTTGCAGGGGTAGATACATCTGATTCAGAACTAAGGGATGTAACAGGTGTTGATGTCCTTGATGTTGAAAGGGTGGAGGTTGATGAAAGTGATTGCTCGGTTGAGGAGAATGCAACGGTCTGTGTGGATTCTTCAGTTGTAGAGATTGTCACAATTGTTTTTATTGGGCTTCGTGTTGCTTGAGTTGACTCTGTGTCACTTCCAGTTGCTTGTGGGGACACTGAATTTGAGCTGAATCCAGGTGTTGAAAATGAAGCAAAGGTGTCATCTGTTTGAGTGGAACTTGCCGATACCTGAGTTGTCTGGGCTGCTGGTGCTGACAGTTCTCCTGAAGTGTATTCTGTTGTGCTTGCAGGGGTAGATACATCTGATTCAGAACTAAGTGATGTAAGCAGGTGTTGATGTCCTTGATGTTGAAAGGGTGGATGGTGATGAAAGTGATTGCTCGGTTGAGGAGAATGCAACAGTCTGTGTGGATTCTTCAGTTGAAGAGATTGTCACAATTGTTTCTATTGGGCTTCCTGTTGATTGAGTTGACGCTGTGTCACTTCCAGTTGCTTGTGGGGACACTGAATTTGAGCTGAATCCAGGTGTTGAAAATGAAGCAAAGGTGTCATCTATGTGGGTGGAACTTGGTGATACCTGAGTTGTCTGGACTGGTGCTTCTGACAGTTCTCCTGAAGTGTATTCTGTTGTGCTTGCAGGGGTAGATACATCTGATTCAGAACTAAGGATGTAAGTGGTGTTGAAGTCTTTGATGTTGAAAGGGTGGAGGTTGATGAAAGTGATTGTTCGTTGAGGAGAATGCAACGGTCTGTGTGGATTCTTCTGTTGTAGAGGTTGTCATAATTGTTTCTATTGGGCTTCTTGTTGCTTGAGTTGACTCTGTGTCACTTCCAGTTGCTTGTGGGGACACTGAATTTGAGCTGAATTCAGTTGTTGAAAATGAAGCAAAGGTGTCATCTGTTTGAGTGGAACTTGCCGATACCTGAGTTGTCTGGGCTGCTGGTGCTGACAGTTCTCCTGAAGTGTATTCTGTTGTGCTTGCAGGGGTAGATACATCTGATTCAGAACTAAGTGATGTAAGCGGTGTTGATGTCCTTGATGTTGAAAGGGTGGATGGTGATGAAAGTGATTGCTCGGTTGAGGAGAATGCAACGGTCTGTGTGGATTCTTCAGTTGTAGAGATTGTCACAATTGTTTCTATTGGGCTTCCTGTTGATTGAGTTGACGCTGTGTCACTTCCAGTTGCTTGTGGGGACACTGAATTTGAGCTGAATCCAGGTGTTGAAAATGAAGCAAAGGTGTCATCTGTTTGAGTGGAACTTGCCGATACCTGAGTCGTCTGGACTGGTGCTTCTGAAGGTGCTTTTGATGTGTATTCTGTTGTGCTTGCAGGGGTAGATACATCTGATTCAGAACTAAGTGATGTAAGCGGTGTTGATGTCCTTGATGTTGAAAGGGTGGATGGTGATGAAAGTGACTGTTCTGTTGAGGAGAATGCAACGGTCTGTGAGGATTCTTCTGTTGTTGAGGTTGTCATAATTGTTTCTATTGGGCTTCTTGTTGCTTGAGTTGACTCTGTGTCACTTCCAGTTGCTTGTGGGGACACTGAATTTGAGCTGAATCCAGGTGTTGAAAATGAAGCAAAGGTGTCATCTGTGTGGGTGGAACTTGCCGATACCTGAGTTGTCTGGGCTGCTGGTGCTGACAGTTCTCCTGAAGTGTATTCTGTTGTGCTTGCAGGGGTAGATACATCTGATTCAGAACTAAGTGATGTAAGGGGTGTTGAAGTCTTTGATGTTGAAAGGGTGGATGGTGATGAAAGTGATTGTTCTGTTGAGGAGAATGCAACGGTCTGTGAGGATTCTTCTGTTGTAGAGATTGTCATAATTGTTTCTATTGGGCTTCTTGTTGCTTGAGTTGACTCTGTGTCACTTCCAGTTGCTTGTGGGGACACTGAATTTGAGCTGAATCCAGGTGTTGAAAATGAAGCAAAGGTGTGATCTATGTGGGTGGAACTTGGTGATACCTGAGTTGTCTGGACTGGTGCTGCTGACAGTTCTCCTGAAGTGTATTCTGTTGTGCTTGCAGGGGTAGATACATCTGATTCAGAACTAAGTGATGTACAGGGGTGTTGATGTCCTTGATGTTGAAAGGGTGGAGGTGATGAAAGTGATTGCTCGGTTGAGGAGAATGCAACGGTCTGTGTGGATTCTTCAGTTGTAGAGATTGTCACAATTGTTTCTATTGGGCTTCTTGTTTCTTGAGTTGACTCTGTGTCACTTCCAGTTGCTTGTGGGGACACTGAATTTGAGCTGAATCCAGTTGTTGAAAATGAAGCAAAGGTGTCATCTCTGTGGGTGGAACTTGGTGATACCTGAGTCGTCTGGACTGGTGCTTCTGAAGGTTTTCCTGTTGTGTATTCTGTTGTGCTTGCAGGGGTAGATACATCTGATTGAGAACTAAGGGATGTCACAGGTGTTGAGGTTTTTAATGTTATAAGAGCGGATGTTGATGAAAGTGATTGTTCTGTTGAGGAGAATGCAACGGTCTGTGAGGATTCATCTGTTGTAGAGCTTGTCAAAATTGTTTCTACTGGGCTTCTTGTTGCTTGAGTTGACTCTGTGTCACTTCCAGTTGCTTGTGGGGACACTGAATTTGAGCTGAATCCAGGTGTTGAAAATGAAGCAAAGGTGTCATCTGTTTGAGTGGAACTTACCGATACCTGAGTTGTCTGGGACTGCTGGTGCTGACAGGTTCTCCTGAAGTGTATTCTGTTGTGCTTGCAGGGGTAGATACATCTGATTCAGAACTAAGTGATGTAAGCGGTGTTGATGTCCTTGATGTTGAAAGGGTGGAGGTTGATGAAAGTGATTGCTCGGTTGAGGAGAATGCAAAGGTCTGTGTGGATTCTTCAGTTGAAGAGATTGTCACAATTGTTTCTATTGGGCTTCCTGTTGATTGAGTTGACGCTGTGTCACTTCCAGTTGCTTGTGGGGACACTGAATTTGAGCTGAATCCAGGTGTTGAAAATGAAGCAAAGGTGTCATCTGTTTGAGTGGAACTTGCCGATACCTGAGTTGTCTGGATTGGTGCTTCTGAAGGTGCTTTTGATGTGTATTCTGTTGTGCTTGCAGGGGTAGATACATCTGATTCAGAACTAAGTGATGTAAGCAGTGTTGATGTCCTTGATGTTGAAAGGGTGGATGGTGATGAAAGTGATTGTTCTGTTGAGGAGAATGCAACGGTCTGTGTGGATTCTTCTGTTGTAGAGATTGTCATAATTGTTTCTATTGGGCTTCTTGTTGCTTGAGTTGACTCTGTGTCACTTCCAGTTGCTTGTGGGGACACTGAATTTGAGCTGAATCCAGGTGTTGAAAATGAAGCAAAGGTGTCATCTCTGTGGGTGGAACTTGCCGATACCTGAGTTGTCTGGGCTGCCGGTGCTGACAGTTCTCCTGAAGTGTATTCTGTTGTGCTTGCAGGGGTAGATACATCTGATTCAGAACTAAGTGATGTAAGGGGTGTTGAAGTCTTTGATGTTGAAAGGGTGGATGGTGATGAAAGTGATTGTTCTGTTGAGGAGAATGCAATGGTCTGTGTGGATTCTTCAGTTGTAGAGATTGTCATAATTGTTTCTATTGGGCTTCTTGTTTCTTGAGTTGACTCTGTGTCACTTCCAGTTGCTTGTGGGGACACTGAATTTGAGCTGAATCCAGTTGTTGAAAATGAAGCAAAGGTGTCATCTCTGTGGGTGGAACTTGGTGATACCTGAGTCGTCTGGACTAGTGCTTCTGAAGGTTTCCTGTTGTGTATTCTGTTGTGCTTGCAGGGGTAGATACATCTGATTGAGAACTAAGGGATGTCACAGGTGTTGAGGTTTTTAATGTTATAAGAGTGGATGCTGATGAAAGTGATTGTTCTGTTGAGGAGAATGCAAAGGTCTGTGAGGATTCTTCTGTTGTAGAGCTTGTCATAATTGTTTCTATTGGGCTTCTTGTTGCTTGAGTTGACTCTGTGTCACTTCCAGTTGCTTGTGGGGACACTGAATTTGAGCTGAATCCAGGTGTTGAAAATGAAGCAAAGGTGTCATCTGTGTGGGTGGAACTTGGTGATACCTGAGTTGTCTTGACTGGTGCTGCTGACAGTTCTCCTGAAGTGTATTCTGTTGTGCTTGCAGGGGTAGATACATCTGATTCAGAACTAAGTGATGTAAGGGGTGTTGATGTCCTTGATGTTGAAAGGGTGGAGGTTGATGAAAGTGATTGCTCGGTTGAGGAGAATGCAATGGTCTGTGTGAATTCTTCAGTTGTAGAGATTGTCACAATTGTTTCTATTGGGCTTCCTGTTGATTGAGTTGACTCTGTGTCACTTCCAGTTGCTTGTGGGGACACTGAATTTGAGCTGAATCCAGTTGTTGAAAATGAAGCAAAGGTGTCATCTCTGTGGGTGGAACTTGGTGATACCTGAGTTGTCTGGACTGGGGCTTCTGAAGGTGCTGTTGATGTGTATTCTGTTGTGCTTGCAGGGGTAGATACATCTGATTCAGAACTAATTGATGTAAGAGGTGTTGAAGTCTTTGATGTTGAAAGGGTGGATGGTGATGAAAGTGATTGTTCTGTTGAGGAGAATGCAAAGGTCTGTGTGGATTCTTCTGTTGTAGAGCTTGTCATAATTGTTTCTATTGGGCTTCTTGTTTCCTGAGTTAACTCTGTGTCACTTCCAGTTGCTTGTGAGGACAGAGAATTTGAGCTGAATCCAGGTGTTGAAAATGAAGCAAAGGTGTCATCTCTATGGGTGGAACTTGGTGATACCTGAGTTGTCTGGACTGGTGCTTCTGAAGGTTCTCCTGTTGTGTATTCTGTTGTGCTTGCAGGGGTAGATACATCTGATTGAGAACTAAGGGATGTCACAGGTGTTGAGGTTTTTAATGTTATAAGAGCGGATGCTGATGAAAGTGATTGTTCTGTTGAGGAGAATGCAAAGGTGTGTGTGGATTCTTCTGTTGTAGAGATTGTCATAATTGTTTCTATTGGGCTTCTTGTTGCTTGAGTTGACTCTGTGTCTTTTCCAGTTGCTTGTGGGGACACCGAATTTGAGCTGAATCCAGGTGTTGAAAATGAAGCAAAGGTGTCATCTCTATGGGTGGAACTTGGTGATACCTGAGTCGTCTGGACTGGTGCTGCTGACAGTTCTCCTGTTGTGTATTCTGTTGTGCGTGCAGTGGTAGATACATCTGATTCAGAACTAAGGGATGTCACAGGTATTGAGGTTTTTAATGTTATCAGAGCGGATGCTGATGAAAGTGATTGTTCTGTTGAGGAGAATGCAACGGTCTGTATGGATTCTTCTGTTGTAGAGATTGTCACAATTGTTTCTACTGGACTTCTTGTTTCTTGAGTTGACTCTGTGTCACTTCCAGTTGCTTGTGGGGACACTGAATTTGAGCTGAATCCAGTTGTTGAAAATGAAGCAAAGGTGTCATCTCTATGAGTGGAACTTGCCGATACCTGAGTTGTCTGGATTGGTGCTTCTGAAGGTTCTCCTGATGTGTATTCTGTTGTGCTTGCAGGGGTAGACACATCTGATTCAGAACTAAGTGTTATAAGGGGTGTTGATGTTTTTGATGTTGAAAGGGTGGATGGTGATGAAAGTGATTGTTCTGTTGAGGAGAATGCAACGGTCTGTGAGGATTCTTCTGTTGTAGAGATTGTCATAATTGTTTCTATTGGGCTTCTTGTTGCTTGAGTTGACTCTGTGTCACTTCCAGTTGCTTGTGGGGACACTGAATTTGAGCTGAATCCAGTTGTTGAAAATGAAGCAAAGGTGTCATCTCTGTGGGTGGAACTTGGTGATACCTGAGTTGTCTGGACTGGTGCTGCCGACAGTTCTCCTGAAGTGTATTCTGTTGTGCTTGCAGGGGTAGATACATCTGATTCAGAACTAAGTGATGTAAGGGGTGTTGATGTCCTTGATGTTGAAAGGGTGGAGGTTGATGAAAGTGATTGCTCGGTTGAGGAGAATGCAACGGTCTGTGTGGATTCTTCAGTTGTAGAGATTGTCATAATTGTTTCTATTGGGCTTCTTGTTTCTTGAGTTGACTCTGTGTCACTTCCAGTTGCTTGTGGGGACACTGAATTTGAGCTGAATCCAGTTGTTGAAAATGAAGCAAAGGTGTCATCTCTGTAGGTGGAACTTGGTGATACCTGAGTCGTCTGGACTAGTGCTTCTGAAGGTTTTCCTGTTGTGTATTCTGTTGTGCTTGCAGGGGTAGATACATCTGATTGAGAACTAAGGGATGTCACAGGTGTTGAGGTTTTTAATGTTATAAGAGTGGATGCTGATGAAAGTGATTGTTCTGTTGAGGAGAATGCAAAGGTCTGTGAGGATTCTTCTGTTGTAGAGCTTGTCATAATTGTTTCTATTGGGCTTCTTGTTGCTTGAGTTGACTCTGTGTCACTTCCAGTTGCTTGTGGGGACACTGAATTTGAGCTGAATCCAGGTGTTGAAAATGAAGCAAAGGTGTCATCTCTGTGGGTGGAACTTGGTGATACCTGAGTTGTCTGGACTGGGGCTTCTGAAGGTGCTGTTGATGTGTATTCTGTTGTGCTTGCAGGGGTAGATACATCTGATTCAGAACTAATTGATGTAAGAGGTGTTGAAGTCTTTGATGTTGAAAGGGTGGATGGTGATGAAAGTGATTGTTCTGTTGAGGAGAATGCAAAGGTCTGTGTGGATTCTTCTGTTGTAGAGCTTGTCATAATTGTTTCTATTGGGCTTCTTGTTTCCTGAGTTAACTCTGTGTCACTTCCAGTTGCTTGTGAGGACAGAGAATTTGAGCTGAATCCAGGTGTTGAAAATGAAGCAAAGGTGTCATCTCTATGGGTGGAACTTGGTGATACCTGAGTTGTCTGGACTGGTGCTTCTGAAGGTTCTCCTGTCGTGTATTCTGTTGTGCTTGCAGGGGTAGATACATCTGATTCAGAACTAAGGGATGTCACAGGTGTTGAGGTTTTTAATGTTATAAGAGTGGATGCTGATGAAAGTGATTGTTCTGTTGAGGAGAATGCAACGGTCTGTGTGGATTCTTCTGTTGTAGAGATTGTCATAATTGTTTCTATTGGGCTTCTTGTTGCTTGAGTTGACTCTGTGTCACTTCCAGTTGCTTGTGGGGACACTGAATTTGAGCTGAATCCAGGTGTTGAAAATGAAGCAAAGGTGTCATCTCTATGGGTGGAACTTGGTGATACCTGAGTCGTCTGGACTGGTGCTGCTGACAGTTCTCCTGTTGTGTATTCTGTTGTGCGTGCAGTGGTAGATACATCTGATTCAGAACTAAGGGATGTCACAGGTATTGAGGTTTTTTGATGTTATCAGAGCGGATGCTGATGAAGTGATTGTTCTGTTGAGGAGAATGCAACGGTCTGTATGGATTCTTCTGTTGTAGAGATTGTCACAATTGTTTCTACTGGACTTCTTGTTTCTTGAGTTGACTCTGTGTCACTTCCAGTTGCTTGTGGGGACACTGAATTTGAGCTGAATCCAGTTGTTGAAAATGAAGCAAAGGTGTCATCTCTATGAGTGGAACTTGCCGATACCTGAGTTGTCTGGACTGGTGCTTCTGAAGGTTCTCCTGTTGTGTATTCTGTTGTGCTTGCAGGGGTAGACACATCTGATTCAGAACTAAGTGTTATAAGAGGGTGTTGATGTTTTTGATGTTGAAAGGGTGGATGGTGATGAAAGTGATTGTTCTGTTGAGGAGAATGCAACAGTCTGTGTGGATTCTTCTTTTGTAGAGGTTGTCACCATTGTTTCTATTGGGCTTCCTTTTGATTGAGTTGATTCTGTGTCACTTCCAGTTGCTTGTGGGGACACAGAATTTGAGCTGAATCCAGGTGTTGAAAATGAAGCAAAGGTGTCATCTGTTTGAGTGGAACTTGCTGATACCTGAGTTGTCTGGGCTGCTGGTGCTGACAGTTCTCCTGATGTGTATTCTGTTGTGCTTGCAGGGGTAGATACATCTGATTCAGAACTAAGTGATGTAAGAGGTGTTGAAGTCTTTGATGTTGAAAGGGTGGATGGTGATGAAAGTGATTGTTCTGTTGAGGAGAATGCAACGGTCTGTGTGGATTCTTCTGTTGTAGAGATTGTCACAATTGTTTCTATTGGGCTTCTTGTTGCTTGAGTTGACTCTGTGTCACTTCCAGTTGCTTGTGGGGACACTGAATTTGAGCTGAATCCAGTTGTTGAAAATGAAGCAAAGGTGTCATCTATGTGGGTGGAACTTGGTGATACCTGAGTTGTCTGGATTGGTGCTTCTGAAGGTTCTCCTGATGTGTGTTCTGTTGTGCTTGCAGGGGTAGATACATCTGATTCAGAACTAAGTGATGTAAGCGGTGTTGAAGTCTTTGATGTTGAAAGGGTGGATGGTGATGAAAGTGATTGTTCTGTTGAGGAGAATGCAAAGGTGTGTGTGGATTCTTCTGTTGTAGAGATTGTCACAATTGTTTCTATTGGGCTTCTTGTTGCTTGAGTTGACTCTGTGTCTTTTCCAGTTGCTTGTGGGGACACCGAATTTGAGCTGAATCCAGGTGTTGAAAATGAAGCAAAGGTGTCATCTCTATGGGTGGAACTTGGTGATACCTGAGTCGTCTGGACTGGTGCTGCTGACAGTTCTCCTGTTGTGTATTCTGTTGTGCGTGCAGTGGTAGATACATCTGATTCAGAACTAAGGGATGTCACAGGTATTGAGGTTTTTAATGTTATCAGAGCGGATGCTGATGAAAGTGATTGTTCTGTTGAGGAGAATGCAATGGTCTTTGTGGATTCTTCTGTTGTAGAGATTGTCACAATTGTTTCTACTGGGCTTCTTGTTTCTTGAGTTGACTCTGTGTCACTTCCAGTTGCTTGTGGGGACACTGAATTTGAGCTGAATCCAGTTGTTGAAAATGAAGCAAAGGTGTCATCTGTTTGAGTGGAACTTGCCAATAACTGAGTTGTCTGGACTGGTGCTTCTGAAGGTTGTCCTGATGTGTATTCTGTTGCGCTTGCAGGGGTAGACACATCTGATTCAGAACTAAGTGTTATAAGGGGTGTTGATGTTTTTGATGTTGAAAGGGTGGATGGTGATGAAAGTGATTGTTCTGTTGAGGAGAATGCAACAGTCTGTGTGGATTCTTCTTTTGTAGACGTTGTCACAATTGTTTCTATTGGGCTTCCTTTTGATTGAGTTGATTCTGTGTCACTTCCAGTTGCTTGTGGGGACACTGAATTTGAGCTGAATCCAGGTGTTGAAAATGAAGCAAAGGTGTCATCTGTTTGAGTGGAACTTGCCGATACCTGAGTTGTCTGGGCTGCTGGTGCTGACAGTTCTCCTGAAGTGTATTCTGTTGTGCTTGCAGGGGTAGATACATCTGATTCAGAACTAAGTGATGTAAGAGGTGTTGAAGTCTTTGATATTGAAAGGGTGGATGGTGATGAAAGTGATTCTTCTGTTGAGGAGAATGCAACGGTCTGTGTGGATTCTTCTGTTGTAGAGATTGTCACAATTGTTTCTATTGGGCTTCTTGTTGCTTGAGTTGACTCTGTGTCACTTCCAGTTGCTTGTGGGGACACTGAATTTGAGCTGAATCCATGTGTTGAAAATGAAGCAAAAGTGTCATCTCTGTGGGTGGAACTTGGTGATACTTGAGTCGTCTGGATTGGTGCTTCTGAAGGTTCTCCTGATGTGTGTTCTGTTGTGCTTGCAGTGGTAGATACAACTGATTCAGAACTAAGGGATGTAAGAGGTGTCGAGGTTTTTGATGTTGAAAGGGTGGATGCTGATGAAGGTGATTGTTCTGTTGAGGAGAATGCAACAGTCTGTGTGGATTTTTCTGTTGTAGCAATTGTCAGCATTGTTTCTAATGGGCTTCCTGTCTCTTGTGTGAGTCCATCTGTGGAGCTTAGTTCTGTTGTTGACAGTGAAGTAACAGATTTATCAGTGCTGGGATTGACTGAAGGCTGCTGTGTTGTCAGTCCTGTACCTTCTGAAGTTAGAGACAATTCTCCCATTGTTTCACTTGATGTTAGTATCGTTGTGGTTTGAGGGACAGATGTTTCAGCTGCAGTCGTTTTTGATGTAAATGACAATAAAGTACTATATACTGTTGAATGGCCCTCATCAGTTGAAGTGGTAACAGATGTTAAGAGGGTGGATGCTGACGAATTTGTTTTTTCTGTTGATGAGAATGCAGCTTCTGTTGTTGATAGTAAAGTACTAGTTTTTTCTGTGCTGACTGATGACTGCAGTGTTGTCGCCCCTGTAGTTTCAGAAATTAAAGTAATCTTTAAGTTTAATATCTTCTCCAATATTTCATAATTATTTTTAAAACCCTTTAAAGTTTTTATTTTGTTTTTTTTTGAACACCTTTTCAGCTGCTTATTAACAGGCAGTAGCAATTCTTTACTATTATACCTTAATTCTTTCTTTTCGCCCATACATGTAGAAACTCTTTTTCCAAGAAAATAACTGTATATATATATATATATATATATATATATATATATATATATATATATATATATATATTTCTTTTTTTTTTCTACAAACACCTACATTTCAAATATTGAGTGTACAAGATCTTCATGTAAAGATATGTAAGGAAAACTTCAAGACGAGACAATTAAAGCTGAATAAACATCCATATGTGTGGTAGAGAATGGAACTATTACTCAAACCTTGTCATGGTTGTGGATGCAAGACTAATAACAAACTGAAACTGCTTGTATGAACAGAAGTAAAAAAATACCATGTTTCCAACCTTTTACTTACGGAGAATGATAAAGTTATAAAATTATGCGCGTATGCCAGCTGCACATTTTTACATGATTAATGCAGAAACCTTTTTAGATTACATAGTCTTTTTGTTGCAGTTTTACAGTTCTTCATTAAAACCCCTTACAGAACAGCTGCCAACATTTTTGATTTTGAACAACTAACTGAACAAATGTCTACTTCTCGTGTTCATGGTCAGTGACACAAGGCCTGGAGTGTTTTTTTTTGGACCCGTTTCAATGAATATTAACATTTGATTGGTTGATTTCACTGTCAATTCCTACTTATGTTGATGGTTGATTAAATGTCCTTCTTTACAGCTCCTGATGTCTAAAACATTGTGTTAGCATAAGTATATCTGCTTAGACTGTTTGTGTAAAGGAAATTCAGAAGTTTGTAGACTTTTAAACTGTCTTTCAGCATTTTTGAGTTCAGGATTTTTTGCCAGGCCTGAAAACATGGCTCAGTGACTCACTGCAGCCATACTTAGGTTGACTTCTCCCAGAAAACTTATCATTAACTTATCATCAGTGGTTCTCCTGCTCAGATCGCAAGTCACTGCACCTATTACAGCCTACAGTTTGCTAGTTAACTTTGCCTTTGTCCTGATGGTTACATTTCACACTCACTTATAGCTCACCAGCCCTCCTAACTTCATCTAGGCTAGCAGCACATCAGCTACATGATACTTTGAGTAGCCAAGCCTGCCCAACTAGAAAACCACATGAGGTAAGTGCATTGTTTCTTTGGACAATATGTTAGCTGGAATGGCCACTTACGGAACAGGGCTAACAGGTTACAGGCTGCAACTTCTCCGTTAGCTCACGCTAGTTATGCCTTGCATAAATAGAAGACAAAAAAATTAACCATTCTGTTGCACACTGAGAGGAACGAGATTGATTCTCTCATAGGTCAGTGTTCTCTGGCTCCAAATTGGATTCTGGCTGTGATGGAATTTGACACTTAAGAGAGGCTGGACCGTTCCCACAATTAGGAGTGGTTTCAGTGCCTTCTGTGGACATGCCCCCCGCATTTCAGTACAGTACAGTACATTTTTCTGTAGTGTGACAAACTCAGAACACATATTTATTACTGCTTTACATGGCCTTTAAATACAGTTAGTATGATGATTCTGTGAAATAATTTTTTAACATGTAGTTTTTTTGTTTTTATACTATCAGGTCCTAGAAGGCCCTAAGGTTTCCTGGCTGGTAAAATTTAAAGGGATATTCTACTACTCTTACCATCTTTAGTCACTCTGGATCAGCAGGTAAGCAAGCTACTAATTAGACAGTTGTTGATGACATCAGCAGTGACACTAATGGAGCTACAGGCTTTTTTGGATAAGACTAATCATAGAGAGCTGAAACAACAAGCCAGTTCATCCAAAGTAAATCCTATTTAATATGTATTTCTCAGGAAATTATGGGGAGGTTTTTGTATTACTGCTGTCAGGTGTGCTAATGGCAGCAATGAAATTCCCCCTATTGAAGTCAATTAAAGTAATGGTGGGCTTACCAGATACAGTCTTCAACTATATCTCATGTAATCGTCAAATTATCTGAAGATAGAGTTATCTATATGTAGGTATCTGAAAATAGAGTATATAAAGGCATTCAGAACCCCCATTCCTCATTTTAGCTTAAACAATTAACTAGATTCACTATGGCATGGGATCCCGTATTAACTCATCACTTAATTAAACCCTTTTCAAGTACACGTTTGTAAAGCATTGTACAATGTTATAATTATTGTCATGTTTGCCAGGACCTGCAGAACCACAGAGGAGAGCAGACATTTGATCTACCATTTTTCAAAGTACTGGAGCGACAATCCACTACTTTCTGACTGAGTTTATATCAAAAAGACTTCAATTGAACTACACAGAGTGCTGACCTATAGGGAAGAAATTGAATAAAACTCTTTAGTAGAACCAATGAAATCTCCATTTCAGCTGGGAGGCATTTCTCAAACAGCAAAGCTTTCCTGAGTTTGTGCTCAGTGAGAGGAGCTCTAGCTCATTAAAGACATGAGCTGGTGCACCTGAACTCTGTTTATGTTACTACACTGTTACTACTATTAAATGTCAGTTTGAGTATTTCTTGACTAATGCCTCTATGGACCTACCAACCATTTCCTTAATTTCGGTCTGTTTTGACATATAAACATTGCATCCGTATTCAGGTCCGCACACCAAACAACTGACCCGTGAACTGGCATAAATTGTAGGTTTAGTGCCCCGTGGTTCAAAGTAAGCTTAATCTGCAAAATCTGCCTGTTATAAGGTTTTCCTCTTTAAAACAGTGATACAGTTTTATAGTTTTTGTTAATAAGGCAGAGCAGTACAACACCAGAGATATGCCTTTGATTTTGGCACAAGGATCACATAACCTTTTTTTTGGCCAATACTCAGCGACCTGATTTGTTACATTCAAATCACTCTTGATGTCCTGATAAACATGTAAAATAAAATAAGCTTTTAATTCAGTCATGTTATTAGCTGCAGGCATTGCATTGTACAAAATTAACCCCTCATTAAAATGGACAGGTTTGATACAGCTTCAAATAATGAACCTAAAAACAGTAAATTGTTTTCTGATTTGATGATCTTTGACAGTTGTGCGCATACACCTTGTAATATAAACAGATCCTGAAACAGCATTCCAGCAGTTTTAGAGCATACACCTAAAAAGAAATTACACTAATTTAAAAAAATCTGTATGACTTAATGGTTCAGATGCAAACAGAGTCATTCAGCATGGTTTGATGTGAAATGATCTGTTCTAGAGAGACGTTCAGAGCCAGAATTGTTCACAGTGGTGATAAGAACCATGTCTAAAGTGTTTAGTGTCTCTTAAAGCTCCCTCACAAAAATTTATTACATAAAATGGTTCTAAATATAGCTAGTTTTATGGTAGTTTTGAGATAAGCTTTTGATGAGAGGTACATGCAGGGTGTTGTATACCAAAATAGTATCTAAATAAAATATATTTTGTAAGATTTAACAGTATTTTTCTGTTATATAAACATAGTGACTCCAGGTTCCAATCACCACAACTCTAAAGAAATCAAGATTTGGTTAAGTTTTTCTACAATGAACCACTTCACATCAAAACTGAATGACTTTGTTTAGATCTCAACCACTGAATTATGCAGACATTTAAAAAAAATTGGTGAAATTCCCCTTTAATCGCATACTACAGGTTACAGTCATATGCATATCATAAATACAGTTAGTTATTATGTAAAATAAAATACTGCATATACATAATAGAATCACTTCCACTATTAAAATAGACCTAATGTTGACAAATAAAAGTTACTTACTTGCTGCTTGCATCAGAATTATTAGAGCCAACAGGGCAGGATGGAGTGTCCGTTTATTACAGAGAATGAATCCTGTGAAAGTACCCATATTAACTGGAGATATTCTTTTACACTGATTAAAAGAAGTCCTGTTGTTGTTTAAGCATATGTTTTTTTCTCCAGTCTGTAAAGTCAGGCTCTGGACGAGCTCCAAGGCAGCTTCATGTCTCTGGCACTAATCTGCTCATGATGAAAGGATGAGTATGAGTATAGACTGTATGTCATCAAGCATGAGCACTTCGTAGTTGAGGAAGGTAACGTTCACGCCTTAAGTAAACCACTGTAATTGGAAGGAACGCAAGGACACCAACCCACTGAAATGTCACTAAATCAAGGAGTTAATAAGTAAACCATAACAGAGCTTCCTAATCTGCTAGTTTAGAGAATAACTAATAAAAATATAAATATAACCAAAGGTGAGTATAGAAGGTCATCTATTTTCAAGTAGAAGTAACTACATGAATTTGTGAATACCCCATTTAACTGGGCAATAAAGCTAGTAGTTTACTTGGTTATCACTTGAATACTACCCAAAACTCTAAAGATGATTTGTCATATTACTCCACGAATTTATTATCTGGCAGCAACATACAAAACACATGAAAAAGCCAAGTATTAAAGCTTAAAGTCTAAATGTAACCACTTTGAAGTTAGACTTTTAATACAACATTAATAACATCCATAAACCATTCAGTCAACACAGTTATGAGATTCCTGATTACAATTTTTAATTCAAGCATCTAGTTTTGATAAACACCTTAAAATATTTGGATATGAAGCAGAAAACACATTTTAGATGATCATATCCATGTTGCCCATGTCAGAATTATAGTACTCATTAAATATTTTCATAAACATAGCTAATGTAACC